GGCTTCTCGAACTCGTCATCTGCCTGAAGGAGGTGTCAGCTATACTCAAGAAAAAGAAACATGGGTGATGGCACCATCATCAAAGCAGACTTGATCGTCATGGCGGCAACAAAATGTGTGTACTTACGCGCTTCTTGAACTGCTTGTGGATGGCATCTAATGCGTCCTTGATGGTGACACCCTTCATGTTCCGTGCGACGACCTCTAGGCCAAGCGGGAAGTGTAGGGTGATAGACTTGAGCTTGGGCTCGGTGAGTGGCAGCTTCAGTACTGATGGGTCCTCAACAGTGGTGGGTGACTTGTTCAGCTTCCTGGAGAGCCATCTGTTAGCGCGGGTTCAGACAAAGAAAGCCAGCCACAGCTATTCGGACCATGGCGGACCAGACGACAACAGTGCCGAACGGCTCCGAGAGAGCAATGGGATGAGGTTGTCTTACCAGTTGAGCTTCTGTGTCTCAATTGAGATGTCAATGTGCTTGCCCTCCTTCTCTATGGCCAGGTCAGCACAACTTGCCCCTCATTCAGCACCCCCGCAGGGTAGCCGTATCAGGGGAGCACATACCTAGGTCTTCAATGCGGTAGACGTCAGCAGCCATAGAGCTGACTCTGCGGTGGCCCTTCTTGGCGGCGCCATCCTTGTGCTCCTCGGTGAGAGAGTCGACCTTCTGGAGGATGTTTTCTGTCTCTGCTGCCATGGTAGTGGTATTGCAGGAGTAAGCTGGGGCTAGCGGAAGCTATGGAAAGAGTAGATGATGAGGAGTGATGAAAGAGAGCTCTGTTGAGCTGTATAGAGGCTGGCTGGCTGGCTGGCTGTCAGGGGCTGGAGGGATGTGAGAGAGAGGAAGAGTGAGGGAGAAGAGAGCGGAGGAAAGGGCGCAGCTTTATGAGGGGTTTCCAATCTGTAGCCGGCAGGAAGGCACAGGCGACGGTCACTTGATTGATCACCACATCAAGGGCTCAACCCAATCGGATTGAGATGTGAATGGTCGGACCAATGCGGGGAAGGGCGAGCATCGCCCAGAATGCGGGGAAGGAACCACCACCATTGGTGTGAGCGTGCGTGGCCCGGCCATCATGGCCATCATGGCGTGCCACCAGAGGGCAACGCGGAAGCTAAGCAATTGAGCCTCAACAGCAACTACGCAAATCAACCTGTTTCTTTGCTCCGTCTCCCGATGTTTTGCGGTGTTGCGGCTGTTTGATGCGCGCGGCTCGCTCAGGTACGGTGGTGAGATGCATCACGCGACCGACGTCATTGGTCGTGCCATGGGTTGACAAAGCCCGCATCGACACGCATCCTCTCAGCTCCGGGCCCTAATACGGACCGAGTGCTCTGATTGATCCACTTAGGTCGATGCAAGCCACTATAGTCTGCGTCGAGGTGCACAATCAGCATGTCATTACACTATGCCGTGAGTTTGATTCAAAATGTGACATGGTCGCGCCACCAATCTACGAGTGTCCTACGATACGCACAGGCTCATACAGCTCCTCGAGATACTTCTCTTCTTCCTCGCTCAATTCCTTGCCTCGCGCTGCCAGTGCTTCGTCCATCCGTTCTACACTAGAGAAGCCAATGATTGGGCTTGCAACGCGCTTGTTGATCCACGCCAGCGCAACATGGCTCATCTTCCACTCGTGCTTTTTGGCAATCTCCTCGACACGTCCGATGATCTTTTTGTCGAGATCCGTGTTGCCTGAAGTCTGGTTGCCGGCCTTTTGCTCGCCTTCTGAACGTGTGGTCGACCCAAAGGCTGATGGAGGACGAGCAAGATGGCCACGGCAAAGTGGTGCCCACTAGAAAGCAATGTTAGCAATGTCTGACAGCCATGTAGCAAACAGCAACACGTACCGGAATAAGGCCGACTCCAGTATCGTTGCAGAAGCGGTTCATCTCACGCTCCTCTTCGCGATAGAGCAGGTTGTAGTGGTTTTGCATGCTGATGAACTTTGTCCATCCGTTCTTCTCAGCCACAAACTGCATCTGAGCAAACTGTACCGCCCACATCGAGCTGGCACCAATGTACCGCACCTTGCCGCTCTTCACCAAGTCGTGCAGTGCTTCCATGGTCTCCTCGAGGGGCGTGTTGGGATCAAAGCGATGGATTTGCAAAAGGTCAATGTAGTCCACGTCAAGCCGCCTGAGTGAAGCATTGACGGCGTTGAAGATTGCTTGACGCGAAAGTCCACTTTGGTTGACATAGTCTTTCAGCTGTGGCATTTCCTTGCTGTATTGTATAGTGCGAAGACCAGGGTCTTCGCCTACGACTCCAAAGCACTTTGTGAGAATGACAAGCTTCTCACGAGGGAGTTGGTACTGCTTGATGGCCTTGCCGATAATTTCCTCGGAAACTCCGTTTGAGTAGACATTGGCTTCGACAGAATTAGCAAGCATTACAAGACTCCCTATTGTTTCTTGTCCTCACCAGTATCCCATGTGGTGAGACCTCGATCGTAAGCAGCCTTCAGTAGCGGAAGCGCCTCTGCTTCCTCAATGACCCATGGCTGCCATTTTGAGCTTCCAATGCTCATAGCACCCAGAATAGGCACCGAAACCTTGAGCCCACTTTTCCCTAAGCGCCTATACTCGGCCTTGGACTCCTTGAGGAGACCCTCCACATCTAGCTTGTCGGGCATATTTGTCGAGTGGTTCGAGTCTTTCAATTATTAGAGGGGTTGTTAGTGTTACTTTGAGCTTTGATAGGGAGAATGGGTATTCGAGTGTCGAAACTCTAATCAGTCCCTGTCCATATATGCAGGGAATGGCTCCAATTTATTCGCCCTTTTGCCCTTTTGCCCTTCCCCATGTGCTTACTTATCCTACGGCTGATGAGCTGTCAATCCTCGGAGTTTGCGGTGATAGTCTCATCATTGTGCCGGTGGCTGTACTTTGTAGTATTGCGAATAGCAAGCCTGCGGGGCGTTGGCACAATATGCCGTAGTGCTACAGCACACGTACGTCATGAGTGGCAGGTCACATCCGCGGACATACATGCTGCTATCTCGACAGGATCAATATGCATGCCCAACTGTCCTTCCTATTTAGGTTGTGCCATCAAGATGACTCTGCAATCTCAGATGTACAATGCACAGCAGGTGAAGCTAACTTGGTGGACATAGGAAGCGTTCTTTCATTGGCTCTGTATGTTAACAAAAGCTCTCGCCGTCAACCACAATCGTCCTGTACTAAAGAAGTAAGTCCCGAGCACCGACCCTTGTACAAACACGGAAATTGCTGACTTCCCATCATATCACCAAAATCGTGAATGCATGCTTCTTCCATCAAGTCATTGGTGGTATTGTTTGAACATCGTTTTTGAGCTTAGACCCCCAGGCGCCAACCGCACGTGATGTGATGCAGAGAAGTTCATAGATGCTCATGTGCCCGTAAAGAAACCCGTACTCCCCAGAACCTTTTACGCGTCCTCGACAATGTTGCCGCGCTCCGACACGTACAGACCGTCCAAGAACTTTCGGATATCCTTGTTGCGGACCTTGCAGATTTGTTGGATATCAGCGGCACCCTGGGAGACGTCCTCGAGTGACTGTTCTTATTAGCATGTTGGATTTGAATATAGAATAACATGTTCTTACGTTTCCGGATAGCTCAAGCTGGTCCTTGACGTTCTTGGAAGCCTCAACCTCGACACCGGGCCTCAGGATAACCCTTCGTACGAGCTTCTCGCCGATGAAGTTCCTGATCTCGACCTCCCAGCAGCCGGACTCGCTGTTCTTCTCAAGGTTGACGTTGATGGGAAAACTAAGTGAGATGTTAGCCAAATTCCATGTGTGCGACATTCGCCGTGAGCCTGGTCCAATTTGCGTTGTCCAGCACTTCGAATACACCAGTAACAATCATCCTGCTTCGACCTGTTCTGACGAAGTACTTGGCAACCCGCATTGGACCAGACTTTGGTTTCGAGATGGCGACAAGGAGATTCCGGTGGTAACATACTGGGCATATACGTATCGCATCTTGTACTTGTAACCCTTGGTGACACCGATGATCAAGTTGTTCTGCTCCCAGTCAGCCCAGTCCTTCCTCTGCCGGTGGTTCGACTCTTTCGGTGCGTTTGACGTACGATGAGTGTGCGGACGGTGCGGAGAGTGGCGACACTCTTGCGGATGCCGTGGTGGAGCTCGATCTTAATCAGATCCTTCTTGGGCTGTGCCAGACTTAGTACATCCCATTGATATCAATTCCTGAATCTCAAACGTACGTGTGTGAAGCTGACCGCCAAGTGACCGAGAGACTTGCTCAGCTTGCCCTGCATTGTGTAAGAAACGGATCGTCGAGGATGTGTAGTTGCGCTTGGCTTACTCGGGGACCTATTCAATGTAATTAGTACAATGCTGGCATTTCCATGTCCAATTGCGCACTCACCCTCAACAACGACATTTCGGTTCTTGATGCTGACCTTGACGCCCTCAGGGATGGGGAGCTCTTCCTCGGAGTGGCTGTTGCGCACTTGTCAGCATAAGTTCCAGGGATTTGGTGTTTTGCGATCGTGGAATTCGAGATGGAGGCGTCCATGAACGGTTCGGAGGTGGAGAAAACCGTGTGGTGCAGCGATTTGTGCGTCGGAATCCAGGGGTAGACGTACATGTACTTCATCTTGACGGTTGCTGCGGGTTAGCGGTGTTGTCGAAGCTGAGGTCGATTTTGACGTGTGTGAAGGCCGAGAATGTGTGAGGGCGGAAAAACGATAGCCGAGCCATAGGCCTAGCACGCTTTCGCACTAGTGCGGCCGTCTTTCCTCTGCGAACCCCATCGTCATCTTGAGCGCCGCCAAATTTGTCCCGCAATCAAGTGTCCGACTCCGCTGTGTAGCTTGTGTTTTCCACGGTATACAATATCTTGAAGTTGTCCTGGTTCATATTCTGGAAAGGTCTCGCCGGACATCACTGCAAATCAACCCGCCAGTTGATCGGCGAAGCTATTGCAGCTTTCGCAACAAGCCAGCAAAAACACATACCTGCTTGCAATATTTCGTGTGCAAATGGCTAACTCCAACCCGCACATTGCTCAAACCCTGCTTCATCGCGCCTTTTCTCCATCGAATGCAGAGTCGCATTACCAGGAACGCGTTGTTCAGCGCCCTCTGTACGTACGCGCCACATCCCCGACTCCATCAGCGCGCGCCATTCGCCGTCAAGCCCTCAACGAGCGTAAAGAAGCCGCTAGGAAGCGCAGCAAAAATAAGCCTCGTCCACTCTCCGCCGCAAAAAAGCGGGCGCTGGGCCTCAATGAGATTCCAAAGGAGCAGCAAAAGTATGCTATCTACGAGGGACTACATAATCTCTGGGTAGGGTACATGAGGGAAGTGCTGGGCGTGAATGATGCATCAAAGGGCGTCATGATCACTCCAAATGCAAGTGGCCAGATTCTAGCGACCGCCGATATGCACGGTGCGCTGATGACAGTGGTGAGGAGTCGGTGTGTGAGTCGTGTTGGGTTGGAAGGCATAGTCGTACGTGACACTCGATTTACCTTTGACCTCATAACCAAGAACAACGTTATCAAATGTAAGTTTGTAGGCACCGAATAGGTAAGTGGGGTAAGTAATCTGACGATTCTAGCTGTACCCAAGGAACACACCATCTTCCGGTTTGAAGTGCCACTGCTGTCTAAGGAAGGAGAGCCACCCAAGAAACCACTAACTTTTGACATCAACGCTGAGCAATTTCAAACACGAGCGGCGGACCGCGCCAATAAGAAATTCAGGATCCACTATCAGCAGGATATATGAAGATTAGGGATGAGCAGAATTGAGAAAGATCCTGATATCCGACCTTCCAAAAACGTCTTTTTGTCGTACAGAGAAGGTTACGCGAATGCAGTTGAACATGCGATGCCAACGCTAGTCCAAACAGTTCGAGGTAGATACAACTACAAGGAAGATGCTCGAGATGAGGCTTTAATCCGCTTGGACGGGTAGACAGGGCTCCGAAGCCAAGCTGAGGTCAGTAACGGCGGCGAAGATCCTGCAACCAAAGCCAAAGTTCAATATCACATCAAGACAAGCAAAGCCAGTTGGAAGACAGCATGAATAGAACATTCAACTATGGTATCATCGCAAACGAACTCTCAAAGAAAAACCACAAAATTAAGAAATAAACAAAAAAACGCCATTTCGCGTAATGCGTTTGGTATCATATGATTCAAACGCCCATTTGCATATCCATCATTTGTAATTCTAAACTCAAAAACCCACATTCTAAGCTTTTGCCGCAACACTAACATGGCGAAAGTCCTCGGGCTTATACTCCTTGAGTTCAGTATCCTGCCCACACGTACTCGCACTATACATTGAAATTTCATCCTTCTCCTTGACAGCCCTGACCTTGTCGAGCCTGAGTCCCGTATAGGACCGCGGCAGATAGCGACCGGGGTGCCATATAGCAAAGATGAGTAAAACAAGGACTATGGGTGCAGCGTCAAAGGTCCAGAAGCACCATTCGTGGCTCTGCAGGTAGCGCAGGCCGTAGTTGCGGTCGTGGGGGATTTCCATGGTGCGGTAGACGGCGCGCAGGGCGATGAGGATGGAGGAGAGGTTGATGGTGTAGGAGAGTTTGCGCCAGAGGTGCATGTCGCCGAGGTCGTAGGCTGACCACTTTCTTGACATGTAGAAGTAGCGGATGGAGACGACTGAGAAGGTGGCGAAGCATAGCATCTGGAGTACGAGGCCGAGGACGAGGATGATGCGGCCTGGTAGTGCGGCTTGCTCGGATATGCTAATGGTGCGGTCGCCGTCGGGGGCTCTGTCGTAGTGCCTGCTTATCTGGGATGCGCCGATGAGCTGGATGAGGAATGAAAACATGTCGAAGGCGACGAAGGTCGGGGTGATCCATTCGGGCCAGCACCACAGCGTCTTGAAGTTGAGTGCCTCGGTTGGACAGCTGAACCAGATGACGCGGCCAAACGACATGTAGCAGGCTGCGGCGAGGAAGCTGGGGGCCAGCAGGATCATGAGCCATGAGACGAGGAAGGGAGACTCTTTGCCCTCATCGTACGACGACACGGTGCGGCATATGAAACCGAGGTCCAGCATCAGAATGCCGATGATGGCGGCCCAGAAGAACCATGACCGGTGCCGCAGGTACTGGGTTACTGAGTAGATGGACAGCAGGACGATGATGGTTGTGCCGACAGTAGCTAGCACGCATGACGGGTCGTAAATGTACGGGTTTAGGATCCTATGGCCTGCTAGTCATGTTAGCTAGGTTGTCGCATTTCCAGAAGAAAAAAAAATAGTAGGAATAGTAGCGCTAGTCATATCAAGCGGGGGAGGGGGGTTATAATGTTAAAATGCTAGTATAATATAGTATAATGGTCTGATTGTAAAGGGAAAAAATGGTCTGGTGTTGTGGCGCTTGAGTAGTAGTGAAGAAAAGCCATGGTTCAACGTACCAAATTGATCCCGTTTGGGAAACTCGGTTGCCCGCGCATCTAGCAAGGCGCCCATCATCCTAGCACGAAATCTCCCGCTTCTGCGTCTCCACCGCGCCCTATTTGGCAAGCCACACACGCGCGCGCGCTTGCTCGAGGTCGGAAAGGAAAGTTTTACAGTTTTGCTTTCCTCCTTCTCGGGCTCAACCTACGGGAGCGGAGTTTGTGCCTGGACTGGTCGCTCGTGCAAGCAGCATGCAAGAAGCATTTGACGCCTGGGTTCGGGGGGTTTTGGGTTTGCCGCGTAAAAAAAGGGAACTGGCTTGGGTTATGTGTGGAGCAAGTTGGGCCAGCAGCAAAGGCGTTATTTAGCGTCTAGAACAGGTGGTCGGCAGCCAGCAAAAAGGGCCGCATAGTATAATTCGAGAACGAGGAGCAGCGGGATGGAAGGACGCCGTTGCGGAGATTTGAATGAAGAACACCAAAAAAGAATAATACAGAGACGGGGAACCAGCGCAGTAGTGGGCTGCCCTTAGGTTTTACCAGTGCACACATTCTCCGCTTGCTAAGAGCACTCAAGCACTTGGCAGGCCTTGTGCCCAAGCTTCCCTCCGCTCGTCGTTTGTCACGCCGCCGTGACCGGGACAGCCTTGTGCGCGTCCTTGATGCGAGACGGGCGCAGGCGGGCGCAGACGGATAACTCGGATCTGACGTCTTTTGCTTGGCTTCCCACTTTCGTCTAATCTTGGATCCGCGCCATGGGATTTTCCTTCGTCTGAACTCATTCCCATCCACCCCGGCAAGCCAAGGGGTTGAAGGTTGAGGGCAATGACATACGTTGCCTTGTCGCGGGTAAATGGCAAGCCCCTCCCATCCTATACAAGGCTAAGTGCTGACTGTTCTCGTTTTCTCTTTTAATTCTCCTCACAAGGAGCGGGAGCTAGCAAATAGCGCAAAACGAGGATAGAAGAAGGGGGGCCCCAAGGTCAGCAAGCGTAATACCGAGACGTGTTGCTGAGCCGGCGGGTAACCAAACACATGTCGCGCTTTGGTGCTTGGAGACACAGCGCCCGCTTGGCAAACGACGGTCAGGACATGGCATTGCTAACTGCCAAGGGCCTCCATCCGCCTTGGACTGCTCTCAGCACTCATCTCTGCATACGTGGCGCCCGACAAAGGCCCTGCACCCGCCACGCCATAGGCAGTCTTTTGCGCGCTTTCTTGTGCGCCCGCCCATCTTGGCCCACCGTGGACGCATCAGACGGAACTCTTGGCCAGAGGCCTCCACGAAGCGTGATATCGTGCGCGACTGGCCGGTTTCAGTCATGGGCTTTCGTGTCGCAGTACGGTCCCTCTGCTGCTGAAGCACCATGCACACGACAAAGTAGGGATGAAACTGAGGCGCACAAGCGTGGCGCAGCCCTATCACCAAAGTAATGCTCTCAAACCCCGACCCAAAGGTGCATCCTTGTGACAAGAGGTCAACAGACCGTCTTTGGTGCTAGTGACACTTCCTGCGCCTTTCCGGACACTTGAGATTTGCGATGCCAAAACGCTCAACAACCAGTCTTGCTGACCTCTTTGATCAATCTTCATTATCTGCATCACTCGGAATATGGCCGGAATCTGATTAAAATACCTGTACAGTGGTGTCCATGACAATCTTCCTTTTCCATGTTAGCCATCGCATCCAGTATAGTAGTACTAATTAGGCCTAAGATGGGGGGGGGTGTAGGTGTATAGTCAAGAAGTGACATTAGACCCACGCCGGCTCCTCAAAAAGCTATTGTTTCACCACCCGCTGCGACGGAACTCTATAGCGCACCCTCCAATTCAACCTCACTCATCATCCGAAGGTCCTTTGTCTGCAACTTGCTTCGCCTCTTTGTCGTCATTATCGTCGTTTGGTTCGTCGTCTTCGTCAAGACCCATGCCCTTCTTGAGCCACCGCACCTCCTTCGGCTTTCGCTCCATCCACAATTCATTCGGCAGCCACACGTAGAAGCTGCACATGGTTTCCTTGACATTGTCCAGGATATTCAGGCCACCCGATAGCACTAGAATGTCAGCGTCCATCTTCATGCCGATGAAGCAATCCCTAAGAATATCCTCTTCAATCCAAAACTCGTACTCTTGGCTGTCGCTACTTGTCCAGGGCTTGCCATTAGGGTACTTGTCCATCGGTAGGTCATACTCGTCGCATCCGGTGGGGTACCACGTCTTGCAGGTAAGTTTCCCGAGAGGTTGAAGTTCCAGTTTGCGCCCGTAGAGCGTGCTCTGCGCGTCGTAAGCTGCTTTAGTGTCGTCGTTGGGCGGATGGATGGTGATTACTTCGAGGTAGGTCGACTTCTTGCTGAGGACCTCCAGCTTGGACGACTCGTACAGCCCGAATTGCTCTTCCGAACCCAGGATGGCAATTCCAATGCCAAACTTGGCCTTGGCCTCTTCCTCAGAAATACCAATCTCTTTATTGTTCACACCCTCCTCTCTCAACTCCTCGGCCCAACTCTTGTTACCGGTGTAAAGGGAAGCTTGAGCACCGCCAAAGATGACGCTGGCAGACTTATTAAAGTCTCCTGTCAAGGCAAGGCCTACAGCATCAGCCTTGGGGAGCTGCTCCTCAGCGGCGTCACAAATGTCGAGTGCAGCAGCGAGCTGATCGTCGTACTCAGGGCAGACTCTATGATATCGAAGATATCTGAAGAAAGAGCGAAGGACTTGGCAGGCATTTTTAATCAGGTGAGGAGCGTAGCCGTAGTGGGTAGGATACCAGGATGAACTGTTGTCTTTAGAATCCTTTTGTAAGCGTTGGACAAAGTAGACTTACAGGAAGCCTTTGCAGACACCGGCAAAATCAACCACCCACTGAGTCTCATCAGAGCGGTCCCATGGTACGTGGTGAGTGGCAAGTGCTCTGGCGAGCTCTTCGGCATCCATCTCATTCATTTCCTGCTTCGATAGGCCTTGGTACATGCGCGGGCCGGCATCTACACCACCAAAGCGCATAAACTTATTAAAGACGTGTGCGTACATCTCGTGCATGCGCCGCTTGTGCTTGAAGCGCTGGATGGCGACCTCGATACGTTCAACGAAGTGCTTGTCGGAAGCGTACATATCATCTTCTTGTGATGCCTCCTCGGGGGTGAGGAGTGGCTCCATATAGGTTCTTTCGAACCCTGTTGGCTTTCGCATGTTCTTTGACACCCTTTCCAGGTGCGCATCTTTCTTCACCTGAACGATCGGCATCGGACGCGGAGCCGGCTTCTGAACACGCGGATCGTAAGCGATGTCTTCGTCGTCGAAGAAGTCTGGGTCGAGGAGGCATTTTCCCTGCAAAGGGATCTTGCGCTTGATAGTTTTTCCATCAGCAGAAACTTCAAGGAAGGTGCTTAGACGCAGTGCTGCAATGACGAGACTTTTGGGCTTGTACTGTCGCATCCTCGAAAACCCGCAGATGCGACTGATGGAAACGGGAAGGTTCTCACGCCCGCCGCAGAATTGCAACAAATGCTTGTCTGTGGGAAGGTTCTCATCAGAGAAGTAGTATTCTACCTTGAAGATAGTCAGTATGCCGTAGGACTCATCAGAGGCAGGGGTGGGAAACCATACTTGACGACGGATATCGTCACCATCAGGATGATCCTGAACGGTGCTACTAGAGGTTGGATTTGGAATTGTACTTTGAGAATCTTCATTGGAAGACCCAATATCTTCCGTGGGTGAAGTCACTGCTGTTGCCATGTCTACAGTCAATATGATTGCCAGTCACTGAGACGGAGAGAGTACTCGAGAGGTAGGAGATGGAGATGGGAAGTGACGGAACCCTTTGATATTAAAGATGGAGAGAGAGATATTATCACAGGCAGCAGTGGTGAAACTATTGCGTTTGCAAACTACAAAAGTGAGAGCACTGGCGCAAGAACGGCAGGCGCGCAATCACATCGCTTCCAGAATGATTGCGCTTTCACCCTCACATTCGTCACATGATGTAAAAAACACAGCTATCTGGTGAGAACACCATAGCAATTTGTTTCCCCTGACGATTGTTGACTGCGAGGCACGTAAGTTTGCTCAGTAGATACAGCAGCACCAGCTACTAATGATGATGACTTCATGGTGTTGCATTGCGAGTCATGCAATCCTTCAGACAGCCATGTCCCGACTCGCTCGTTGCCTGTAACCCACCTGACAGTGGGGTCTGGTATCTCCCCACAACAGCTTCGTGCATCTTGCACTCCAGTCCCAACCCTAACCTGCCGAGCCTAAGATCTTGAGACCAAGAACTCTACACCTACCCAGCATCATGGCGACCAAGAAGTATGACGCGTCCAAGCTAAAAGCGTACAACAGTGCCGCTGCGGGCCAGTACGTGTGACCCCAAGGCGGCTGCCTACTGTTCAGCCGTTCCTTGCCTGCCATACTAAATCGCAAACTTCAGCGAAGGCGTACTCAGCGACGAATCCGGTGCCGTGGTCGTGAAGCCGTGTACTCTTTCCGAGATTACCTTCTATGAATCCCTCTCCGACCATCCCGATCTTGCGCGCCATCTGCCCACCTTTATGGGCCAGCTCTCCCTCTCCACCGACCAGACTGCCGCCGTAGAAAGCGTCGAAAGCGGCACCATCAAAACGGCCGACGGATCCATCGAGCGCCTACATGGAAAACATCTCGACACAGATCTACACATTGTGCTAGAGAACATTACGCATGGGTTCAAGAAGCCAAATGTCTTGGACTTGAAGCTTGGCGCAAGGTTATGGGATGATGACTCGAAGCAAGAGAAGCGAGATCGCCTCGATGCTGTGAGCAAGGAAACTACAAGCGGTAGTCTCGGCTTCAGGATAGCGGGTATGCGCACCTACAAGGGCGCCGACGTACCAGAGATCCCCGACGACTTGAAGGAGTATGTCGAGGTTGACAAGGAGAGTGGATACTGGGTGTACAACAAGATGTATGGGCGCAAGTTTAACGCTGAGAATGTGGACGAGGGCTTTGTATCGTTCATCTACCCTGGCGCCAAGTCGGAAGCAGAGCTTGACCGCGCGAGAGAAGTGCTGGCGTACTTTCTGGGTGAGGTCAAGGATATTCAAGAAGTGTTTGAAAGCAAAGAAAGCAGGATGTACAGCGCAAGTATACTCCTCGTATACGAGGGTGATGTGGAAGAGTACGGCAACACGAAGCAGAAGTTACGCTCAGCGCACCCAGAAGACGAAGAAGAGGAGGATGAGAATCTGCCCAAGCTCGCAGAGGTCAAGATGATTGACTTTGCGCACGCCTCATGGACACCCGGGCAAGGACCCGATGAGAATGCGCTGCAGGGCATGAGGAGCACAGCAAAGATATTGAAGAGCTTACTGGACAAGGCACATGATTAGACTTTTAGCCAATATTTTGTTGTCTGCTATAGATTTGTGAATAGTGTGTACCCAACACCGAAGCGCATAGAATACTATAAGTCATGGTGAACATGTGTCTGTGCTCTTCGGTATCCTCGGATACTGGGGTAAGTGTGAAGCAAATGTAACACTGCAGCTAGCTGTACAAGGCTATTGTTCAACAGTATTCCCGCCAAGGGATACCTAGTAAACTACCAGCTCCTGCTCAGCACTAGATGATCACCACAATACCATATCGTAATCAGTCCCACTTCTCACGCAACTAAACTTCCCAACTCGTACCGTGATCCCCAGCCCCCCAATCCGCACGTTGTCCATCGCCGCAAGCTAAGAGGCCAAGCCCCAATAACCACCCCCCCAAAATAGTAGCGGAGAACAGGGCCCAAGCTACGACTCGTAACTCGCAGACACGTAGGTTCGCAACACGTAAGGTGCCTTGACCTTTCGGCATCGCCCTCCAATCTTACTAAGCACATAATTGGGTCCTTTTTTTATTTAACAAAAAAAAAGTAAGAAAACAACAAAAAACAAAAGAGGACGACAAGGCAAGGATAATTAAAACCAAACGTCGTTGTTGTTATTATTATTATTATTGTCGTGTTTTCTCCTTCAGCGACCAAATTCCTCATGAATCTAACATTCCTGTCTAGAAGAAAGAAGAAAGAAGCGCAGAAGATGCAATCAAAGGTGTTACTTCCTTTGTACATCTATCCAAACCCTGGAGCGTGGGATCCGCTCTACACCGCGTATATTACCCCCTCCCCCCCCCTTCTCTTATTCCCTGTCTACCTTTCCATAACTATGCTATTTACTTTCGACGACGGGTACTCGAATGATGTCGCCCAAAACGGCTAATAATAATAACAACAACACAGCTTGTCCAAACACCCGCACCTCGACTTCCTGATTATCCTCAACCCAAACAGCGGGCCGGGCACCGCACCCTGGTGGCCCAACGCCGACTACCTACGCGAGATCCCGCGGCTCAATGCGCTGCCCAATGTGACAACGCTGGGCTACGTTCGCGCGACGTATTGCGAGCGGGCGCACGGCGATATCTGCAGCGATATCTGTACGTATGCGGAGCGGGGGCGCGCGGATGCGCGGATGAAGATGCAAGGCGTGTTTGTGGATGAGACTGTGAATTTGTATTCCAAGGAGATGAAAAGGTATCTTGATGGCATTGATGAGCGGGTGAAGCGGGAAGATGCGTTTGGTACCGAGGGCTTGGTATGTTTATTCCTTTTTTTCTATGTAGCAGGAGCTGATGGAGGAGTACAGGTCATTCATAATCCGGGGACGGCGGTGAATAAAGGGTTGGCAGCGCCTGGGCCGGATGTTACGGTTGTGGTGGAGACGTCGTATGCGCATTTTGCGAGCAAGGAGTATCAGGAGTGGCTTGCGACGTCGCCGTATGGGCGTGAGCGCGCGGCGTACATGGTGCATTCGGTGCCAGAGGATCAGGTTGAGGGGCTTACGAGGGCGCTGCGGAAGAAGGCGGCGTATCTCTTTGTGACGAGTGCGACTTCGGAGTTCTATGAGAAGTTTGGTGATAGTTGGGAGAAGTTTGTCGCGGTTATGGCGGAGCCGTGATGGCGTGTGGGTATATGTACGCAGAAAGAGTGTGAAGGTGGTTGTGGGATGGCGGCGTCAAGAGGTGCGAACACCAGGCTGGATGCGCCTAGAAATATAGACAAAGAATCTTGTAGAGATGCGGATCTCATGACATACGGCATTCTGAATTCTATCATCAGAACTCAGGCAGTTGCTCACTCCAAGACGTGTTGCTGAAGCACTTCCTCGATAGTAGCCCATATCCTACATCGATTCCAGAAGCCAGCGGGCACATCGACCAAGCGGTCGTCATGCCCACTGACAGGAAAGCGCTTCATTGCAAGGATTTTGGCTGCGCACCTCCAGTCCCAAGAAGCGGTAGGATCCAGAGGTGCTATGTCAGGTTGTGGCAACTGCTGCTCGATGCGCTTCGTGTTCAGGTCCCAGATATGTGGATGCAAGCTTCCATCACCAAGACTGTTGCGCCAGAAGGTGGAGTCAAGCGGGATCTGTAACGCGAGTATCTTGGAAGTTCGGTGAAGCGCTATAGTTGATGGGATTGGCAGGTAGCTGCAAACCTCATCTAGGAGTTCTTTTGGGAGACGCTCCAAGTTCTGATGCCTGCGAGCTGGTATTTCGGTAAATTTAGGTTCATCTCTGGTGCGTGGCGAGCTCTGTAGAATACTTTGCACAAAAGCGGTGGTATCGACTTCCTCGATGGGATTGGTGAAGAAACGCTTGCGTAGTGTTAGGTTTGCGTTCTAGATTGAAGGTTGTCGAGACTTACGTCGTAACCGCCTCCCCACCACTCCAATTTCGTCAGAGCCAGTACGCTTCTAGGTCCATAGACGCTGCATTGAGAAGACAGATCGAATAGATCATTGATTGACCGAAGCGACCCGTCGTGGATCTGTCGTTCAGTGAAGCGACTGTTGAGCAGTTGAACTAATACTTCGAGAGCTGTTTTGTCATCGCACTCTTCTTTTTTAGACTGATGATACTCTATAGCTCTACAGCTTGTATCCAGGCAACAATCGTGCAAGGGGAACAGGGTACCATGGCCGGGAATGTGTGAGAGGGCGTCGACCCAGATATCGTTTTGCCCTTCATATCCAGCAACGTGGTAAAATCCAGATCCAGTAAGACTAAAACGAGCAGGCCCGGAGACAAAGGTTTCGGGCTGATCAGAGGTGTTGACGGGTCTTCTGATAATTTAGCGAAGTTGCACAACAGGGGAGCTTGAGTACTCACGAGTGTCCATCACTAGCTACCACATGGTGATATACATCGTCAACATTACCAATAAGACGAAGATGATATAGCCACTTGATTTTTATCAGTTTGTAACCCAAAAAGGAAATATTTCTAGAGAGGAGAAACACCGTACTTGGAACTGCGGGTCTTTGGGATCGATATTGTAAACCTCGCCTTCAACATCAAACGGCCCACCACAAACCACACAAAACGGTCCGGTCTCAGTCGTATGTCTTGTATCGCTCTTGGGTCCGTGTTTGCGCTGTGAAGAAAAATAACCGCCCATGTTTGCGCTGCTGATGCTTCGATTGGTAGCGGAATTTTGTCTCGGGAGGGGGTTTGGTTCATCCAAATACTGCTCGAGATGAATTCGGCCGTTTTGCCCCGCTCAATTTCTCGCAGGCCTGGACGCTGCAGCTGCAGATGTATCCAAGCCACAAGGAGGCAAAATATGGACAATACGTGCGACGCAAGGTAGGTCACTCTAAGATCAATGAGTGTAATGCATTCTGCAGGTAACCGAATGAGGTATAGCAAAACCGCCCCCCACTCCCGATGCGTGCGAGGCGTGGCTTGTACTTTGCAAACACGGCTGTAAATTGACTGTTGTTCTTATCCCTTTCGAACGAGAATCGCAATTATTTTGTTTTTTTATTCATGGTGCTGACACATGGAATTGGTTTTCTGTCTCACGATCGCGAAGGCTGGAGAGATGCCTGGGTGTATCACCCTCGGAACTCCGTGCGTTTGATGTCCGGTACCCTTACCTACTAACGTACCGTACAAAGTCCAGCCGCAACGGAGTACCGAAAATCAGCTTCGCCGCATACAGAGACATTGGGTAGTCGTGGAAGGTCTCCGCGTTTGTGTCTTAGATAACGGCTGCACGTCATTATTAGACAGAACTCTATGTTTCATGCACGCCACATACGTGATGAATACATGTCGAAACTAGTGTTCGTTGACTTCTAGATTCTCAACACGTAAAGGGGTGACATGTTGACGGTGGCTCTACACATCGAACATCTAAGCGATGTTGAGGCTTGTAATTCCATAAAATCGGGCATCATATGACCCCTACAATGTTTCTTCGTCTGACGTGTCCAGCTTACGCATGCTGGTGTCTTTCCTTTGGTCGACTTTGACATCTCAAACGCTCTAGCCCGGTTCCCTGTTCTTCGCTCTCGTTCGGTCCAATGGGATGAGTGCAGTGAGTCCATGATGCATGTGGTTCCCTTCGAGAATCGCCAATCATGTAGGAATTCTACGATGTGTATTCAGGTTCCCGTAGGGATGGCGACTTGGGTGTAGAGAGTGTTGATTCCTGGTACCTGGATGTGCTTTTTTTTTAGGTATTCGGTAGACACCCCATTGGCATAAACGTTACTTCTTCTAGTTGGTAGGGTGTGGAGCATGGAGACCACCCTCTCCTGTTGAGGTGTTGATGAGGTCCCTCAGTTTGCATTGCGATGGTCATTTACCAGGGTTGTTCAAGGACATGGCTCGGGCTGGTCGAAATATTTAGTGTAAGCATACGCAACAACTGTAATTTAACTCTTAATTTAGAGTAAGTTTTCGGTGTGTTTCTGTGCGCGTGAGAATGACTCTCTTGCTTATTCTGTCGGCAATATCAGGCTACATCAAGTGATAGTTGATGACGTTCGGCAATGTTATCACCAGGGTGAGGCTAGCGTGACATTTTTTTGTGGGGCGCCACCACCACCACACCTCCTTCTCAGTGGTTACAATCCTCACATGACATTTGGCAACACGCTATATTGCAAACGTAATTCATTATTCATAAAATACATCGCCCTTGCATTCCATTCACTCCATTCCCGATAGTACCCCTTCGCCCCAGTATCAACAGCGACCATGAAACGAATGACTTCAGACTCGTTGATACAGTGTTCGCAGAGATACAGAATGACAAACACATTTGATCTGCACCAGTGAGAATTTCTCCACAATGGCGGTCAAGTTGCTTGTTCAGGCGCTGCCGTGATCATCTGGGATATGGGAGCACTGACAAGCCCCCCGTCCCGAACATTACACACTACTCTCGTCGCCGTACCTGATTCTCCTTAGTCTTCATTTTCCCCTAGAAAACATCCAACTAGTGAGGCTCGCCAGTTGTGTTTCTGCTTTTCCGTGCATCGACCCATGCTCCCACCGGGGTACCCTTTCGATTTGCCTTGCGCGGGAACATGTGTGTGTTGAACGTTTGCAGCACAGCAACCCCCGAAGTGGTCACTGCATCCTGGTCGCTGCGCATTGGTCTGGATGGCGGTGGCAAAGCACCTTCTTCTGAGTTGTCCCTTGAGTGTCCGCCAAGTGCAGCACGAATGTTTTCTTTCGACACTATGCGGGTCAAGTCACGATCGGGCCCAAAACGTATCCTCTGTTGTGACTGGGGAATGCCAGTATAGCCTCGTGTATTGCCCCCTCGCATGGGGCTTTTCGTTGGGACAGGCGGCGCAAAGTTGTCCTCGTTGTTTATGCAGGACAATACTGATGTATTGGTTGGGGAGGTACCTGGCCACGCGACTGGCTTTGGAAAGCCTGTATCGGGTCCCCCAGGGGACTTGGGCAGTACGGTACGGTTGTTGTTTTCTGAAGTGACCCGCAAATGGCCAGTATATGGAGCAGGTTTGATTGGTCCAGGCAAGCGGGTTGGTGGTTTTGCGGGCCGCTTCGTCTCTAGGGTCCGACCAGTTTTTTTTCTGACTGCTTCTAAGTTCGCCAGCGATGGATTTTTCTCCCCCTCGCTACCGTTATTGCTTGGAATACATAACTCCGCATGTGAGTTTTGGTCGCTAGCTGGGGTGTGTGCATCTTGCTGCTCACGTTGCATGCTCCTACTTCGATGCAAAGGATGCAGAAGGGCAGTGATCTGACCCTCAGGCAATGACTCTGGTCCATTGGTTTTTGTATATGCTTGCAGAGTCTGTGTCTCATTCGAAGGGCTGAATGAATTGGATATGCGGACTGAATCGTAGACGCTTTGCTCAGATGATTTGCGTTGTGTGTCCACACGAGGCCAAGGTGTAACAATAGTCGTATTAGTTGAGTACGTTGAAGCATAGCTCCCATTTCGTTGGGTTGTCGAGTTGGTTTGCCCATTCAGTAGGCCAGGCGACGGCGGCTCGTCAGGTATGAAGAGCTGGCGCGTGACTCCATGCAACGGACTCTTCGGCTCCTCCCTTGGCATCTGCTTAGACACACTACGAGATAGCGAGCGTCGTAAGCTGTTCGAGTAGCGTTTGATTGGACTGGCACTACACTCTTTCTCTGGGTCTATATCGTGCTTGCCTGAGAGTATCTTCTTCACCGGAGTTCGACGGTCATCGCGCTTGAGAATATCAAGTTGAGGATGCTTGGCTTCATTAGGCCGCTCAACAGCCTTTCTCAAATTTGCCCGCGCTCGTTGTTCCTCTAGCCACACCTCCATCTTTTGTTTGAACCTTGGGCGTTCAACTAAGCCGCCGTACTGGGGATAGACAGAACGAAGTTCCTTCTCAGTCTCGTCGTAATGCTTTCGTGTCAGCACACCTGATTCGTTGGTATCCTTTGGCATGAGTAAGACGCGATAAGAAGTTGAAGATATCAGATTGCCCGGGGGGATGTTGACGTTTTCCTTGGGGAAGGCAAGACCAGAGGAGCATCTCTCCTCGACGAAGAGCGCGAGGCGCCCATAGTGTCGGCGACCCTTGATACTGTATGAGGCACGGACTGCATCTACAATCGGTACAAACACTGCTTGCCAAGCAGTGCAAATGTTTCGCAGTTGAAAGTAATCGAATCCCCACGGGTTGTGCGCTTTGCCGACTTTGAACGTCTGTAGCAGCCACACGAAGAGGTGCTTCTCATACTCCTCAACACGCCAGTCTCGCTTGTCGATGGCACAGAATATACTACTGGTATCCACACTGGGATGGTGGCGATACGTGTTTTGGTCGAATTGTGTATAAAACCACAGCAAGTCCGTGCGCGAGATACCTTCTCTATCACCATCGCTTGTAACAACTGCAGTCGCGGCCGTAATTGCACCAGGCTTCACAATAAAGAGAGAATCGCGAAACACAGCCCATGGCTTGAGAAATGCATCGGTAGCGAGAAACTGCTCTTCGAGTCCCTCGAGATCCGACAGTTGTAGTAGCGAGAGCGCTCCTTTGAGCTCGGCGGGTACTTTATCCTTGTCGCCACGCGTCAACAGACTACGCATCATCCTTGTGCCCAGATCGGTGGGCGAGGGTGCCATGTTCTCGTTTCAGCTCGAATGCGCAGTTGGGGGTCGAATGCTTTGGTCGAGTTGTTTTCGTAATGACTGAAGCGTCGTGTGTTTGGGTTGCAGCGAAAACAAATATGAAAAAGAGTCATCGAACAATGTGCTAGCACACAACGGGCGGCCAGATTTTTGCAGTGAGCGCGAGTGTTGACAATCACTGGTCACAGGGATTCCGCTTTCACTTTGCATATCGTCACACTTTGCTTGGCGCTGGACTGCATCTGCTACATTCATGTACTCGCCCATCTTCTCACGACCATATCGTGCAAGTAAACGACAGTTGTATAATTAAGTCGATCTCCTCTATTGAAATTTTATCGAATCTACGTGTCGCTACTAGCCAACTGACGATGTCAGATACGATCCATATCAACAACGTCTTCACCCCTCACATACGTACCTAGCCCCACACTTCAGGTAGCAACGCGAGCAAACAAAACAAACGCGAAAGCTCATCAAACTCTGTCCTCATGAGAGCGGTGCCATATTCGCATAATGGCAGCTCACACAGTAAAGCGTACAGGCGACCAATATCGGTGTAGAAGGGGAGAATAAGCTCAAGCGGTCTTTCAGGGGCACTAAAGGTCATGTGTAGGGATCTATCATACATCGAAAAGGAACAACTGAGAAGGATATACACAAGGCGGTGCTTTGCGTATTGTGCTCCATCTCAGACGTTCACCACAAAAGTTTGAAAATTTACACTGCCGAACTAAAGAAAATAGGGCCGTATGACGATGAAGACTCTGAGAACAAGAGTGACCCAAAGTATAAAGCTGAGAGATTTCAATGAAGTTGAGAAGACTCTGAAAACGAAGTACAATGGTCACCGCGACTGAGCCTTTCCCCTAGAAGCGATTTCTGGAGAGCGCTGCGGGCTGATTCGCTAGAGTCTTGATCAGTACTAGCCTCTATGGCTTTTCCTTTGGCCTCTACGGTTGCTTCAAACCCAGACAGACTGCCCGCTTGTTATGTGAGGTTTACGCAACAATGGCACGTAAGAGCATACAGTGCCCCACCCGCCCGAAGGGGCACTTTCGGCGCTTACGTTCTGCAGTGAACGATATAGCCTTGCTCCAGTGCCTGTGGTTCACTAGTGTAATGATCGGCGGCTGGTTGAGGCTATGATCTTCCAGAATGCCTTTGATTACGCAAGCTGCCTCAGTTGCCCTAGTATCATCCGTGGACAGAAACAGCATTAAGGCCACCGTATGCTGATTTAAAGCTAATGAGCTTTTTGAGCATGAATATCAACATCTATGTTGGTGTATTGGGCGGCTTTCCCAACTGCCAATATGGACAAGCTTGAGTGTCGGAAAGGCTTGCACATAGGGGACTGTCGAAAGTCCTGGTAACTGCATACTCGGGGATCCAATACGTCAAAGTTGGGAGCAGAGCTAGGCAGAACATTTTGGTATAACTGTGCAGCCACTCTGAGTACCGTTCAGGGTTTAGGTCGCTGGCATGCCAGGCTTGGTGTTCGCGGGATTCCTGTGATTGAAGCTTGTCATCGGCATTCGTCTACGGCCACCCATCGGTCAAATATCAGTTTCTTGAGCTACCGCAGAAAACCCCATGCGGCATGGTTGAAGTGTTTCTGTCAAAGCGAGCAAATCTTGCTGAAAGTTTTGGTACGCCACATTGGATACGAACCAATCAGCGATCCGCACTGTCTTGACGCTTCTTTTCGGAGACTATACAACGTCCAGTGATTTATGAGTTTGTGCATCTTGGAAGCATAGAAATGGATCAATATCTACCGTTCATGCTCATAGGAGGTGGAAGAGGCGACATTATCGGCGGGTCGTTTGCAAGTGGCCCATATGGTGACGAGCCTCGCATGGGCCTAGGCTGGTACTCGTCCTGCTCTTCCTCGGGCGAAGAGAGCTCCAGTAACCTTTGTGGAGATCCAACACTGAGCCCAAGCGCAGTGAGCTTCTCTTGTAGTATGTTTATGACAGCAGGATTGCCGCCTCGAAAGCCAGCGAGCACTTGAGAAAGCGAATGCATGAGATCTCTAGGACCAATATCGAAATGCGACTCATGATTTAGTGACGGCATGATCATCATAACGTCAGCGAGTGAGTTTGCTACGTCGAAAAGCTTAGACTCCTGTTGCAAAAGTTAGCAGAGTAAGTAACTTGACTGTAGTTGGGTCATACCATGCCAGGTCCATGCGCCTCTACACTTTCGCGAGAAAGACTGCTTAAATTGCTGAGCACGTTTTGTGCCACCCTGGCAGGGAAACGAAACGAAAACTCTTCATCTTGACTTGGTTGACTGCTTAGGTTGGTAACATTGAGCGCATGCTGCCACAGAAAAATACGCATCCATTGTTGTGTCATTGTGATATCAGCACGCTGGAGTTCGTTTTCGAGACTGCGGGGATCTTCATCACTGCTCAGCTGGTGCTGAGCCACGGCGAGTGCTCGACGAGCACTAGCGGGGTCCGCCGTTATCGTGACATCGAGGATATTGAAAAGTCGACAGAGCTGGACGAATGCAGGCGTGACAGATCCATCGCGCAAGTCTTGAAGGCTCGGAAGATCTGGTGAGCGTTTGAGTGTCGTCGGGACATCGTGCTGCAAGGAATGGGCGCGCTCGGTGATGAAGAGGAGCCAGTAGACGCGTAAAGCATACTGTGTCTGCTCTGCATTCATGACCAGGTAGTGCGTTGGGTTGTGCAGGCCAAGGACATGAGCTTTGAAAATGGCCTCTCCAAGCAAGACGGTTGAAGCATTCATTCGGCCGACGTTGGCAGAGTAAACATGCAAGAAGAAACTGCCCAAAAGAGACGACATGGTGATGTTTTCCAGATGATCGGATTCATCTCTGGCTCTTCTTGCCTCTGACTCGAAGGCGCCGCTCGAGACGCGGTAAGGGCCTTCGACCGGACTTCCCGGCTCAACATCAATAGAGAACTGGCTCACAATAGCGGCGCATATGGCAGTGGCCAGTGCATAGGCCTCTATATCGTGAGGGTGGGTCAAGAGTCGTGCAGTTAGTGTTTCGGCATCAACAACTGGCCATATGCCATAGCCACGTGCCTGGTAGATTTCGAGATACTGCGAGAGACAGGCTACCGGTATCCTCTGGGGTTCCTGGGGAGTGCTGGAGAATGTGGGACTCATAACGTCAGGCCATCCATTGGAATAGGTGCTTGGTTCGCCTAAGGGAGGCATTGGAGAGATGTAGGGCAGCTCGTCAACGGGACTGCCGGTATCGATGCTGGTTTCACTAGCGCTCCTCGATCTATCACAGCCAGTCTTGCTGCGTTCTTGCAGTCTTCTAATGGCGGCTTCAGTGGTCCGGCGCGGTCCCTTGGGGCCGCTCTTTCCATGTGTTTTGAGATAGGTGCAGTCCCACTTGGCGGCCTCGCACCTTGCACAGGGCTGGTTGCCATCGCAGCGCACTTTTCCTGGACAGAGGGAGGAGAGGGTCAATTGTGAGCATGTGTGTAGAGCCGAGACTGAGACGTACTGACGGAGCAAGGGTCACACGCCCGTCGCGTGCCTTTTCGTGGAGCCATGGCCATTTTGATAGCCAAGGTTCTAGCCTGATCTGAAGGGCAATGCTCGAGAGTGGACAGTAGTGATCAAGTCGGCATAGCGGAGATAGCGTAGGGCTATCCAGGCAGCGGATGGGGATGGGATAGTGTGTGGAGACGAACTGGGAGGTTTGTCGGAAGCTGATAAAGAAATGCGGGAGAGCGACCATAGCATGGCCGTGCTATGAAGTGAGGTCGCGGTCAGGGCATGCGGCTGATCCTGAGAACAAAAGGTGGAGAAGGCCCTGCGCGCTGGCGGCCCCCCTGTACATTGGGGCGCCGGCATCTTCCAATCAAGCGTGTGGGCAACCGTCGGCGCCAACCGGCTCCCGATGCAACCTCGACTGCCCGAAAAACTTTCCTTCTAGAAGCTTTTTGGAACAAATTTGCTCCCTGCACACTGCAGACGGCCTGCTGCTGATACCACGCCACGACTCACTGCCCCAGGGCGACTGGCAGGCCCATGCCGCCCTCGTCGACGCTGTTCATGCTTGGCCGCCTCTAAGCCTAGGGATGCGCGGCTACATTCGGGCGTCGCTGCTGGCTGCTACATGTGTGTTAGCACTGGAGAAAAGGCTGCATCGCGGCGATACACACACCAAAACGTGTTTCAGTGACGTACTCACCCCCAGGCCCTGCACCGCTTACTCCGACTATGGGCTTGTCGAGTAGTTGCAGCAACGGACGTAGCCGAGAACGTGCCGGTCATCTTTCCTTACTCTTCTAGTATGCGCCAATTTCTTAGGACAAAATTAGAAGATGTGTGTGCGTGCATAAATGCCGCGCCACCATCCATGCCCGTTCGCGTGTCACATGACTTTGGCACAGATAACAGCGATAACGCACGTGCACGTGTTCCTGGAGTAGTGTGCCACCACGTGTGCCCCAGCCTGTGCTACTACCAAGTACATCATACTACAAAACACAGACGCCATCCCTGTGCCTGCGTGCCTTTACAACCCCCCCTTCGCCTTGCATGCGCCACATTGCCACGCTGATATCCAATACCTCGTGCATCCAGCTCTGCCTCACCAAAAGACACGCATCGCCTGAATTTGCCATGGTCAGCAGAAGAATTTTTCATGACATTGCTTTTGACCAGGGTTTGCGACTGACCTGCAGGCCTACCACGTCTCCGAGGAGTTGATACCTGTCTCCTGAAAGCTATTACACATCGTATTCCATGGTGGTCATGGCCACCCTAAACGTGGCGTCCTCTCAACAACGTCCCAACAGCTACAAATCCTCGGGGTCGACGACATGACGCAACTCCAACAGGGGCTGCGATTTCAGCTCCCTTGATTATACCAGCCTCTGCCATGTGAATGAATGGCACATACATACTGACGTCTCAATACTATGGTAGAATCACTAGTGCCTTATCATGCGTTCTGGAGTAACAAGAATCTGGGGAAGCCACATTAACCGACGCGCTAAGCATCCCGACATAATATACCTATACGAGCAATGCGTCGATGATCGAACGTCTGGCAAACGTATTGGCTGAGGGGTTGGACTCGATATACAGCACGCCCAGCTAACTGGAGCTAAATGCGACGGTCTATGGCCAAGAACTAACATGAACCGGATATGTTCCACACTGCCTTTGGATGCCCAATCATTGCAGCCGTTCCTGCCTCATCTTGCATAGTAGCACGAACACAACAAGTGTGCTACGATCATGTCAGCGGCGTCTCAGACAAGGATATACAGTACTTAAACAGCTTCACTTTTGCATCTGCACAAAATCAAAGTCAGTGCATCACAGGGATACAATCTCCACACTACTCCCTGAATTTCAAACCCAATTTCTAAAAGCCTAATTCATTTTAAACATGAAGTTCCTCCTTGTCACAGCTCTCGCGTCTGTTGCTTTAGGGGCTCCCTCAGATCCCTACCCAGCGCCCTGCGGACGATCCGACCCCTCTGGAATCTGCACCACCAAGGCAACTTGTTACGAAAAAGGCGGCTTTTGGGTACAGCGGGATTGCACCTTCTACAACGTGCTCGATATCGGATGCTGCTACTCTATCCCCGATAAGAAGAACTGAGTGATGGTCTAGAACAGACCTGGTGGGACACATGTCGGAGCAGATGAAAGGTCCCTCAGGATGAAGAGCAAGCAAAGAGCCCATGTGTATCCAAATTGTTGGGCAACAATATTAGTCTCTAAGATATATTTTTGGCAGTACCATTTGTGTAATCGTGCTGCCCAATTGCCAACCACATTAAGCCAAACGGCCGAATGACAGGAACCGTGCACTTTGAAACTTTGCGGCCTGAGCTTGTGATAGATAATAAAAATTCTCACCAGAGGCACAATCTCGGGTCTGCACCAATACAGCTATTCACCCTGACTGCCACCTCGAAGGGTGAGTGGCATTTTCTTGTTTTGTAACGGGTGAACGGCTGGAGTGACCGAGGTGCGATTATGTCATCAGGGCTGATTTGGCGCTCGGAAGTCATCGGAACGAAGTTCCGTTTCATTCCGGCACACTTTCCGGTCCGATGATTTTCGAATTTTGTCCCCACAACAACACTGTTGTAATACCGTTTTTGACACTACTGACGCCTCACTACGCGCCAACGAACCTGTCAAACCATCACGTCTATACTTCAGCAGACGACTGCCTCTGTCGCGTCTTTTTTCTGAAATACCCGCCAAACCGGCAAAACGTGACGACAATAACATGGACCCCGGCCTGGAGTCGACCAGCTTTTAAGCGCTTATCGAGGCGCGGGAAGCTGCATATACGTTTCGACATCAAAGTGAAGTACGTCAGTCCGGAAGCATTCTACCAAATGATCAAATCCCCAGCCTATGTCCAGTAGTGTGGTTTGTCATCATGAACTGCATGGTCCGTGATGGCCTTGCACTACCCTTTTATACTGCATATACCCCTGCTTATCACTTTCCAGGAGCTTCAAGATCATTATGGCCCCTCGATCAATAGACAGTCAGATGCTCGTAAATGGGCCTACGCTGTCTTGTGAATCCCAAAATGGGGAGTGCGGTGAGACAACGCCCTCAAGACTACTGAAGCGCCAGAGATCGTCAGACAAGATGCACGAGAAGCGAAAGAAGAGCCGACAGGACAGCGCCGCGGGGTCAACACCATCTTGTCCTCTATTAGTGGCTCTGCGAGAGTATGGTCTTCTTGAGAACGTCCTTTCTTGTCTTTACCCCGACGACCTACTAGCGCTCCTGTTGTGCTCAAAGTCTATATACCAGACACTTGTCCCACAACCTGGTAGCCTAGAAAACTTGCTTGGCAAGTTGAGATGCTCCGGAAAGGGTGTCCAGATACGAAGAGAACGACATGTCAAGTCGTCCTTCTTCTATGCATACGAATGCAGTGAATACGTCGAATGTGGGGCAATAGACGGTGTCGCCGAGTCTCGTCCCTGCACAAACTGCAAGGTTACGACTTGCAACGAATGCCGCATCCATTGTGTATACCAGAGTATCTTCGAGAAGCCATGCGAAGATGACGAGCTGCCCAACTATAGCGGTTTCATCCTTCTCTCGCCGTCCGAGATACCCATATTGAGCCCCCACCACCTGAAAGATGATCTCACTACACCACAATGGCAAGCCCCATCACCTGCCACAACTGCGCCCTACCACGATCAGGGGTTTATTGATGTACCCCTTGAGGAGGAAAGCTTCGGCCCGCCCGAGTGCGTCGACGATTTCCTAAACTTGGATCTTGGCACATGCACATTTGCCGGACCAGTGGCTTCAAACGTAGCCCACCCATCACCCGTTCTCCGATCATTATACCAAACTACAGAAGGAAGAAAACGCCGGTTTTGTGATAATCATCTTCCCTCAGGCATACCAAAGCAACGAACGGATCTTTCAATTCACCAGTGCCAGTGCAGCCTTCGCAGTCGTTTTCTCGACCGATGGCTCTGTTTACGATGTTACGAAAACGAAGAAACGACTCTCCGTGATACATATGTTGACCATGTGGCGCAGTGCTGTTGCGGGTCAACGCATGTCAGGGAGATATGCATGTGGTGTCTCGGTGAGATCTCGCAGCCTCACACTGAAGAGGCACAGTCCGACTCCCAAAATAGCCTTGATGAGCGCTCTGCTTGAGTCTTGTGGACCCATGGCTGAGCAAAATTCAAGGCAACAAAACAAAGTCCACTCACCCTAATGATGGCAAAATCTCACTTCTTTAATGTTTCAAAAAGTATGTTGAGCGCTTCTCGTGCATGTACTTTGACTCTGTACTATAACTCATCCCAACTTTCCCCTCAGCCCTCCGCATATACCCCCTTGTACACTAAGTTATGAAGTATCAGAGCGATTTTGGTACTATTACGACCACCCTTAATGAAATAAATGTATATTGTTTTTGAGAAAGAAAAACATACATTGAATTAAACAAAGTGACCCCAAAACCACACATGACAAATTGAAAGAAAAAAAAAGTCACACATGCAAGTCTCCCATCAAATAACTCCACGCAAATGTATCATCACCATTCTTCAAGCCATCCCACAACCCTCTTACTCCCTCCCATCTACCGCAAACACTCCACTCCCCTCCCCCTCTCCCTCCCCACCACCCTCCTAACCTCCTCAACCTGCATCCTCGCCTCCACACCCCTTACACCCTTCAACCTCTCCACCTCCGCATCAATCCTTGCCTCCGCCCTCCGCCTCTCCTCCCTCACCCCCACCAACCGTAGCCTCACCCTCGCCATGTACCGCTCTAGATGCCGTATCCCTGGCTCGTCGCGCTCGCGCCTTATGCTTATGTCCAGGGAGACGAGTAGGTTCATGCATTGGGTTTCGGCGCGGTGGTGTTGGAGGTAGGTGGATAGGAGGGTGTTTTGGTGGGGGGTGAGGATGGAGGTTGTGGGGTTGATTGAGGAGGTTGATGTTGTTGTTGTTATTGTTGTGGAGGATGAGGGGGGAGGGGAGGAGGGGTTGTCTTCGTGGATCTGAGTAGGTTGGTTTGGCATTTCTCTTTTACGGACGTTGTTGTGTTGGTGTTGATTTGTGTTGGGTTAGTGGTGTTGATGCGGAATGGCTGTGATTATTAGATGTAGTATGGGGAAGTTTTTCGCTGGCGCTGTTGATCCTTTTTTTTGTAGAGAATATTGTACTGTAGGATAGGCGTTTAGTGGGCGGTGAATGGTGAGGTGTGAAGAGGAGTCGCTTGGGGCTTGCGATTTGGTTGGTGAATGTTGAAGTGAATGAGAAACGAGTTTAGCGTGGAGTGAATTCAAATTCTTCTTCAAAGCTCAAGATTTTCAATGATAAATGTATTGAAGACTTTGAGTGATGTCTGGGGTAATGTGTCCCTTTAGTTTGGTGAATCGCGGATTGTGTTCCATGTTTCATCAGTGTAGGCAATCAGGTTGGTAAATTGTCGATGCTGTTCTACAGTGCGAATTCACATGACTTTGCATACATGACGAACCAGTATAGAACAAGCTATATATGCAAGGGTAAGTTGAGCTAAACGTGTTGTGTCTAGTTCTACGGCGATATGCAAGGAACAAGGCTCTTTCTGTGTCGATTAATAGAAGTGATGTCATATTAAGGACAATACAAGGGAACATAAAAGAACCCAGAGGTTTTGCCAAAGCCTATAGCAGCGAGGCAGAAACATGTCGATATCTATTGGCTTACTCTAAACTTGACGGCTTCCATCATAATCGTCTCGGCTTGACCTTTTGGAACGAGCTAGACAAGAACGAAATATACATTGGTCTACTACTAGGTACGAACAATATCTCTGTTTCGTATGTCGACATCTTCTGGTTAGCTCTCAGTCACTTCACATGCCAAAATTAACAAGGTAAGCATGACTAGTTTAGTATGGTGAGAGCTTCAGCTCATTCATGCTCAACTACAAAAGCAATTAGGTATCTACAATCGTATGAAAGCCACACACAGCATCATGTACATAAACACAACCTGCGTATTCATCATCCCAAGTTCATTACAACGCATAACCTAAGTCCTGACGTGCGCCTCAACGTTGTGTCCCGCAATGCCCTCTTCAGTCTCGCCAACACGCTTGCGTATTGGGCCGACATAAGTCGAGTCGGGAAGCATGTTCAGGGCATCTTCCTGCTTGTCGGTCTTGCGCTGGTGGAACCAGAAGAGGATACCACCGCAAAAGGCCAAGATAGCAACGGTAGTGTAGTTCCACACCAGCAGGGGATCTTCAGACAGTGACACAAAAGCCTGGCCAATGGCGTTGGAGAAGGCGCTCATGAAATGGAAGTATGACGTAACAAGGGAGCGCATGTTCTTCGGGGCTTTGGTGAAAGCGAATTCGAGACCGGTGATGGAAGTGAAGATCTCGGAGAAACCGACGAGCACGTAGGGAACAGACTGCACCCAGACGTTGATGGGGGCTGGGTCGTCGCAGCTGTTCATGAACTTGCCGCAAGGGCCGGTCTGGTAGATGTAGTGCTGGATAACAGCTGCGGACACCATGGCGAAGGAAGCGAGGATGAAACCAAAAGCCATGCGCTTGATGGGTGTAAAGCGGATATTAGCCTTGCGGAGGGCTGGGTACAGGAAATTGTCAACAATGGGGATGAAGATGACGAGAGAGATGGGGTTCAGGTTGGTGATGACATCGTTGGGGACACCGTTACGTGTCATGGTAGCAGCCTGTGATGTGAGGTTGTTGTTCATCTGGTTGTATGAGAGCCCTTTTCACATTGTTAGTTTTTGAGTTTGGCAAAAGGGCTGAGCCCAAAGAAAGACTTACAGTAAAGCGGGATCCAAGTGAAGCAAGAGCAAGCCCTCAATCCACGCGCGACTTGGTCGACCCAAGCATCATCAAACTGCATCCAGCTTGGCTTGTTGCTGCCAAGGTGGCTAGGCTTAACATCCTCCCAGAAGTTGTCGGCTTTGAAGTTTTTGCGCGTCTTAACAGGGTTGATCGACCACTTGCCCTTGACCGCGAGTTTCAAAAGCTTGATGGCGCGGATGAGGACAGATCCGGTGGGCGGGGTACGGTGGTACTTGTTGCGGCATGACCAGAGCACGATAGGGCATAAGCAGAACATGATTGTGGGAAGCAACCAAGCGCACCAAAAACCAACGTACTTTTCCACGTAGACCATGGAAATTTGGCCGGTGAGGGCACCAGTATTGATGAACTGAGCAACTGTTAGGGCGAGAGCTTTTCTTGGCTGGGCTGACTAGCAACTTACCATGTAAAAGTACAAGAAGATACGGGAGATGGTGATGTTGGGGTCCGAAATGACACGCGCACCCGTCTTAGGATCAATGATAACACGAGGCTTGCTTTGGCGGTATTGCTCAGCAATCAAAGGCGAGATGTTGGCCTTGAAAGCTCCAGTGCCGAAACCAAGAGTGATGACACCGAGAATGAATGGACCAATGGCATTGCCGCTAGTCAAGACTGAGGGAATGGCGGAGATGATGAGCAGGATGTGACCGAGAATTGAGAAGGCGATGGCGACGAATATGGTGTTGAAACGACCAAGGTACTCATCAGCAATGATGGCGCCGATGATGGGCGTGGTATAGGCCCAGAAAGAGTTGAATTGTCCGATACCAAAGGAAGCACGCTGGCCCATGTCAAGTGCTCCAGGCTGACCCTCTGATCTGGGGTCACGACCGGTTGTCTGCACAACACCGTCGATCACAGGCAGAGGCTGCTGAATGAAGTTTGTATCTTTTGAGAGTCAGTGAAGAGATTAAGAAATTCGATTCAATCTTAACTTACACAGTACTTGACAGCCATAGTAGCCGAAACGCTCACAGAGCTCGACAAAAGCAATGGTGAAGGCAGTCCATGGAATCTTTCCAGAAACACGAGGAAGAGTCTTCAGTTCCTCTGCAGTGGGCTCCTCACCCTCGAGGTCAGCCTCAAAGACTTCTCCTGGGTACTCGTGGTCGTTGGACGAAGGCGAGCGAGTCTCAGAGAGGGCACGCTTCTCATCGAGTTCATAGAGGGGCTTGGCGGCCTCAGGCTTGTGAGACATGGCCATGTCAACGTCGTTGGAGCCAGCATTTGCCGCCATGATTAGCAGATGTAGTCGCAAATTCCAACAAGAGTGATGAGAGGAGCGAGCTGATTGCTACTCTTCCTGCGAGGGGACCGGGAACTCGGTTTCAATTATACTCGAGAATTCCCGTCTCGTGTGTAGTAAACGAGCGGCAAATAGCAGCCCTTGTACCCAGCGCGGTCTTGGTATTCCTTGTGGGTTCCTCTATCAAGCAGGTGTCCAGGTGCCCAGTCTAGTGGGAACCTGCTCCATGGTCAAGACCCAACACCAAAGGCTCGCCTGCGCTGGCCGCCTTCAGCACCAGCTTGTGACTTGAGCGAATTGGGGGCGACGCCGAAATCAACCACGCAGTTAAGCTTTTCACCGCTTTCATAGGTGTTGATTGGAGCCAAGATACAATGGGGACTGGGTGTAACGGCCTAGGCGACGACTTGGATACAGTGCTTAGGAACTTGGCGACGCTGCCGATCCCACACACAACGCCTGCAAGATAGATGCTTCGGCCATTCACGCTCGTGTGTCCTGAGACCCCCCCTAGCTCTTCTCTTATCGTGACAACACGCGCTGTGCCACAGTTCCCGTGTGACGCTGATAACCAAAGCTTACCAGTGCGGGCGTCATCGCGAAGCTTTCAGCTTCGGCCCGTACTAAGGAAAAACCAAGACCAGTTACAAAAAAAAAGAAAACTTGGACGTCGAAGCAAGTGCCAATGCTGCTACTATGTAGTCGTCCTACATCGTAGTATGTAACGCAATTTACCGTGTCCTATGGACGCAAATTTTGCCGCCGCGCTGCCATGGCGCCCAGCCTTCCGCGCCGCTGGGCGCTCGTCTTGCCCCTCTCCACCCACCATATCCGCCTCGGTCTGTGGCACTTCACGAGCCAGCCACGCTGCCATCCCAATGTAACTCGGCCATACCCGAACAGGCAGCTCGATGGCCTGATGCCATGTATTCATATTCCTTGTGAGAGGGATCCTCCAATGGTTGCCCAGTTGAGTTTCGAGAAGGGGGGGTTATGCAGCACGGCGCGGCGCCGACCCTTCTCAAGCTTATCTCCGCTTAACAGAACAGGTCAAGATGGCCGAGCAGGCTGACGGCGAGGCTTCGTTTGTCGGCGGAAGCTTTACCTGGCGCAACATCATGGGAGATATTTTTCTGCTATGGAACCACCGCGGGCTTGACCCGCTGCTTTCCCGTGGACTTGGCACAAGAGTTGGTTGATTGTTGTCTGGTCGGACAATCCTCTCAATAGCATCTGGCAGTTCCTAAACGAGGAATATCACGCGCTCACATGCCCCAATGAGGGCGTGGTCCCTCACCTCACAATATCACAATGAGCAGGATTTTGGCTTGGCCGAAGGATGAAGGTGGGCAACCCCCCCTCCCTTCCCAGCCACAGCATCATTTGCCCACCCAACAAGCCCTTATCGCCCAGGACAGTAAAAACTCAAGCCGTTTGAGCGTAAACGGCATTCCCGTCGTTGCCGTCTATACCTCGCTGTGGCTGCAAGAGAATCATCATGGAAGGCTTGGCATGCAACTTCCCCACCACAACACCAACACCGCGAGTCATGCCCTCGTTATCATAAGCTGGCCTTGACATCTCTAGAAAAAAAACATAAGCCCAGATATCGATTCTCGATCCTGATGCCTGTGTTTGTTGCTGGTCAGCCAACACCAACATGATCATCTTATGATCCCATCACCTTGAGCCACCAACTCACCACCACCACCACCCCTATCGACGCCAGCATTTCAATCGAAACCTGCTTCCGTCGATTACAGCACCTCCATCGCACCCACCATGTTGACTCTGGCCCAACCTCCCTTAGCTAATAACCATTCCCGCAACCCAATCCCGCATCACCCTATCCATCCCAATCGCCCCATTCCGCCCCGCCAAGCTCCTCTCCGCCCAGAAATGCGAAGAGAAGAGCGGTTAACTAAGGGTAAGCGGGGAAGCACCGAGAGGCGGGTGCCTGAGGACAAGCACGGATATACATGGGCCTTTTTTTGTCTCGGGAAGACAAGGGGGGGGGGGCGTTTTGTCTTTGCTGGCCCCGTGGGTTACCCGGGTGCCTGGGTGGCGGGCGCTGCGCGCTTAGTGGTGGGGTGGCTAGGGTATATATGTGTGTGTGTGTGTGTGGTGAAGGTGTTGGTGGTGAAGGGCGTAGTTCTGGGATTGGAGAGATGCGTGTAGTGCACTGTTGAGATATCAATTCATGGATTTTGCCGATTCTTCAAGTAAGACACGATCGCAGCGCATACATTTTTCACGAGAAAAGCAACGACTGAAACAAAGTTGTTCTCAATAGGTATCATTAGACATTTATCAATACTACATAGCAAGCCCTATCTTGCCACGCGAACAAGTCTCAACTAGCAACAGGTTTTTTAGTTGCCAATGGGGGTAGTGCTCAAAGGCTCACCCTTGGACCAGTGGTTGATCCAGTTGAAAATCTCAGTGTGCCAAACCAAGCTGTTCTCCTGCTTGAGGACCCAGTGGTTCTCATCAGGGAAGTTGAGGAAGCGACTGGGGATGCCGCGTGCCTGGAGGATGTTGAACAGGCTGATGCCGTCGCTCTCGGGGAGACGGTAGTCGAGCGTGTTGTGGATGACGAACTGGGGAGTGGACCAGTTGGCAATGTGGTTCTGGGGGTTCCACTGGCGGTAGGCGGGTGAGTCCCAGATGTTGCCGGCGTAATCGTGGCGGATGAACCAGAGCTCCTCAGAGGCCCAGGCGCCCTCGGTGTTGGAGATACCGTCGTGGGTGACGAGGGCCTTGAACTCGTTGCCGAGGTCGTTGGACTGGATCCAGTTGGTCATGTATCCACCGTACGAGGCACCGGCAGCGATACCGTTCTTGGTGTCGATCCAGGTCATGGTGGAGTTGATGTAGTTCCAGGCATTGACCAAGTCTTCATATGGCCAGCTGCCCCACTCGCCCTGGATAGAGTCGATCAGGTACTGTCCGAAACTTGTAGAGCCAGTTGGGTTAGGTGCGACGACGATATAGCCTTGGTCGGCCCAGACTTGTGGGTTCCAGCGGTTTGACCAGCTGTTGCCCCAGTTGCCCTGAGGACCGCCGTGGATCAGGAAAGCGAGGGGGTAAGTAACGTTCTCCTGGTAGAAGGTGGGCTTGACAACATAAGCCTGGAGTTGCTGCTTGAGCTCGGGGTTGGAGCCGTTGAAGAAAATCTCTGAGACAGTCTTGGAGCTGAGACCTGCCAGGTTGGGGTCGACCTGGGAAGCGTCGAGAAGCGTCTTCTTGTTGCCGTCGGCGAGGATGTACCATTCGCTGGGAGTCCAGATAGCGGTGGCGGCAACGAACAGTGAACCGTCGGGAAGCAGAGCAAATGCGGAAACGGAAGTGTTTCCTGTCAGTGGCTCGGGAACAAACTTCTCATCTGCGGTGATTGGGAAGTTGAAGATCTTGACGCGGGCATAGTCATCAGCAGTGACGTAGATGGAAGAGTCGTCGTGGGCCCACGTAATGGGTCCCTGCACCCAGCGGTCAAAGCCCTCACTCAGGCTCTTCCAGTTGCTAGCAGCCACGCCTTGGCCCTCGACAGCAACGTCGTAGGTGTACAGCTTGAACCTGTCCGACTCATAGTAGTCCTCGTCTTGCTGGACGTATGCAAGCTTGCAGCTGTCACCGGAGAAGGATGGCAGACCAGAAGCACCCTGGTGTCCAGCCTTGAAGGCCTCAGAGTTAGGGCCGTTGAGAGCAACGGGAGCCTCGTTGGAGGCAAAGGCACCGACGTATAGGTAGGATGCGGTGTAGTTGGCCTTGTTAAGCTGAGGAGCCTTGCTAACGAAAGCATACATGGAGCCATCGGGGCTGATGTCATAGTCGCTCGAATCACCGAAAGGCTGAACGGGAGTTTCAGGCTGAGTAGTGGTGAAGCTAATACCACTTTGGACGTTGCGCACGCCAGCGCCAGAGAGAGCATAGCTGCTGTTCTTGGAAAGGGTACCAGCAAAGAGCTGGTAGCGGTTCTTGGTTAGCCAGGTATCCCAGTGGCGGACATAGATATCCGAGTAGTAACGGGCAGTTGAGATTGGCTTGACTTCGGTCTCGGGGTTGACTGCAGTGCCATTGGGGTAGGCCAAGCTGTTGACCAAGAAGTGCAAGTCACCAGTAGAGGTGTTGGCGACCTTCAAGCCAGAGTATGGTGCATCCAGAGAAGCAACAAGAGTGCTGGCGCTTGGGTCCTTGATATCACCAATCCACAGGGTGACACCACCTGGGATTTCCTCGTTGGTGCCATTGATGTAGATTATGCCAGTCTCGGTACCAGGAATCCAGGCCACTTCGTTAACCTCGCTGGGGTCGAGGCCCGACTTGGTGACCTCACCGGTCTTGAGATCAATGAGGTTCATGCCAGCCGTGCGCGCATGCTTCTCGAATGAGTACTGCGTGTACGAGAACAGGGCGACTGAGCCATCTGGACTGGGATCGGCGGCAGCGCGGCGTACGGTGCTAAGAAGCAACCTGTAGGTTTATTAGCATTCTATCATTGGGACTATGTAGCTGCAGAAAAAAAAACGTACTCGGGTGTGAACGCACACGCGCCAGTAGCAGCCAATGCTGCGGCAACACTGAGGTAACGAGCCATTGTGTATGCGACCAGCTTCGTAAAAGCTCAATTGGACGAGGTCGATGACCAGACGAAAGCCATGCAGGACATGCAGATTATTTGTACAAAGAGCTGAGTCCGAGACCCCTGCTGCAAGGCATGTTGCCATCCGGGCAGCGGGCCACGTCCTTTCGGGAGCGGTACCTGAAGTGACGATGCCATCATTCCGTAGGCAATGCAGTAGGTACTAATCCATAGACGTCAAAAGATGGACGGTTTGTACCATATCTCCTGCCCAATTGGGGCTAGATGCGCGGGGACAAAAACAAGCTCGTCCTAGGTGGGTTACTAGAAAGCATATTTCCGTGTTGTCCTATCGTAACTCGGTCCACTTGAGAGTCGCTGGATGGACCGACTTGGCGTCCATGGCCGTGTATCCTTGGTGTGCAGTTCCGCCAAGCCCTCGTTCTGATTGGTTGCGCCCACACACAGCTCACGCTAGCCATGGACTAATTTGTGGCGGATAAACGGCGCACCCAAAAGGGCAGGTCGAAAAAAAGCCCAACACGAGGTCGCACACAGATCCTCCACATGCACGGCGCTGGCTGGTAGCTGGAATGCATCCTCGCGGAATTGAGAGGGCGGGACTGCATGATTTTTCTGGGCACCCTCGGTCTGGCTGGGGCCTTTTGCACGCCTAACGTGTCCGTGAGCAGATTGACATGCATACCTGCCTTGCCCGGCCTAGACATTGCTCGATTCGATTGCATCTTCGCGTCAGCATCTAACGCTACGCCTACGGCTGAACGGCCGTCCCATATCGCATATAATACCTGCACGGCCGTGCCTTCTATCCAAATAAAACAATCCTTGTCTTCGATACATGTGTGTGGATATTGAATATGCGAAGGAGATCTTGGCTACCCAAGTACCTGGGAGATGGGCTCTGGATGCGAGCTTGCTTTTCGCACGTTAGTTGCCCGTAGGAACTACATCCATAAACCGATCTATCGTTGCACATGGTCAAATAGTCACCCTCATGTTGCATCATCTTCGAATGTACAGCCAGAAGATCGTGCAATGTCCCTGTCTGGGAGGGAAGTCATTTGTTGATAGGTATGAAAAACGAGTCATCTGTCCCGAGTCTACGGGTTTGCTTCATGCTGGGTCGCAATAAGACAAGACCTCGCAGAAAAGAACTAGGCGTATATCTATGGTTGATCATCGAGCCTTCGTGTTCGCGCTTTACGAGAAAGGTTATTGTCGAGTGCGCTGCCATGTGGGCGCTATCCGAAGGTGACAGCGGTACGGGAGTAGCCGTATCGATCTCTCATCTTGACGACACACTGCGAAGAGATAGGCGTGGGAAATCATTCCAGAAGCTGAGTCGGCCTAGAAAACCCTGTGAGACTAGGGAAGACGCTGCTGGTTCCCGGCGACCCACTGGGAACAATCGAATCATTGAGTGCTTCACATCAATCCCTGCAGCCATCTCTAATCAGATCTGTCTAGAGTTTTTGATTTGGAATAGGGATATCGCTTTGCTGTGGTAGTTGCTGGATTGTAATGGTATGCTGCTGTTCCAGTATCTGAGCACCTATCAGTACTCACCTGTATCTTTGACGGATACCCTGTCGGCACTAGTAGCTTAGATGTTTTTCCAACTCACTAGCCCAATCATCCATCTCTTGAATTTGCATCATGTTTTGTGGTCGAGCAGTCACGTCGCGACAAAGTTTGCTGTCCACCTTGGCGCTTATGTCCCAGGCGGCTCATTGGATACTGCAGTTACTACTACATGATAAACATACAATCTCTTTAATTGAACCAGGTTCTCGGGTACTGCAATCTAATATAAACTAATTTGATGCTCCTAAAGGACGATAGAGGTAAGCACCATCCGGTTCTTGATGTTTTAGTCACTTCACTGTATATTGCCGCCAGTGACTTCCACAAATAGAAGCCCCAGACATCGGAGTTTTGTATGAATCCACACAAATACAAAGTCAGTGTCCAAAATTGATGTATATCACGCTACAGATATAGCAGTCCACTACCCTAGTCTTGAACAAGGGATTTGTATACAAAGAACAGAATCGGCATGCTGTCTTCTTTCAAATCTATGGGTACACTAGCACGCGACATGGTTCTGATTACTATCCTGGATGAAGATATGAATTCTTGATTTGCCGTTTAGATTCGTTATCAATACATGCCGTTTACCAGTCAAGGTTCGGCGCTGGTTCGTGTGTTGAAAGGCCAGTCACGACATAGTCGCAGCACATTTTTTTTTCTCCTCAAAGAGAAATCGGACTATACAGGCGATAAAGCTCAAAGGATCGCTAGGATAAATGATGTGCTGCTCGCAGATCGTTGTAGTCTAAACAATATTCGAACTCGGTGGTTGTGTTGCGCCTTCCTCGGACTTACGGTGCCAGCACCTCTTTCCTCATCGTCCATGCCACCACCTTATTTTGCATCCAGTACTGTCATCATCACCTTTGTGCCGTCGACGAAATTTTCCACGACAACTGACATCTCGCAAGCCTTGAATGCACGCCTCTTGACGGTGAAATATGCGGTGTTTAATAGTTGTCACTTTGGTCATGAGACATTAGAAGACGCTGATCATTTATTTTCCCCGCGTTATTTCTCCACAATTCCTCCACTGAAGTGCAATTGACCCCTCCGCACACTTGACAAAGTCGGAAATAACCCCAACTTAGTGACCAGCTTTTAGCCTGAAATACGGCTCTTTCTATTCGATTTCAGATACTCGGCTGGAAATGTCGCGATAGATACTACCCTAATCGGACTACCGATGCACCCATGTTTATTGGATCTAAAGATTTTGGCAGAGTATAAAGTGCTTGCAATGAGGCGGAATGGATCTCCAAGGCTCCTTACGACACTTTGAACGCTGCCATGCAGTTGTTATTCGCAACTTTACTTTGGGCCGTCGGTGGAGCCCTCGCTGAGGACGGCTCCCAGGGCTGGCTACGATATGCTCGGATCCCAAATGGAGCATCCGCACAATCGGTACCATCGACAATCATCGCACTGAACAGCACACGAATCAGTCCTGTATATACAGCCGGTCAAGAGCTTCAAAGAGGTGTACTAGGCACCACCAGCAAACAACTCAAAGTGAGCACGACCGCCAGCCAGGATCAGTCAGCCATCATCGTCGGAACTACCGAAGCTTACAGCAAGGCATACGGAAAAATTGGCGAATCTGAAGATTTGGAAGATGATGGATTTTACCTCAGTATAAGCCCGGGAAAAGTCATCATCGTCGGCCAGAACGAGCGTGGTGCTTTGTACGGCGCATTCGAATACCTCTCACAGCTTGCACAGAATAAGATTGCATTCGGATCCAAAGTGTACAACCCTCAAGCGCCGATTCGATGGGTTAACGAATGGGACAATCTTGATGGCAGTATTGAGCGGGGCTATGCTGGCCCATCAATCTTCTTCCGGAACGGTTATGTAGTCGACAACACTACTCGCATCGCTGAATACGCTCGACTACTGGCGTCCATTCGCGTAAACGGCGCCATTATCAACAACGTCAACGCAAATGCTGCTCTACTCAATGATCGCAACGTAGCCGGTCTCGGCAGAATTGCAGATGCTATGAGGCCATATGGAGTGCAGATTGGCATTTCACTCAATTTTGCATCTCCTCAGCAATCCCTGGGCACTTTCGACCCACTAGACCCCAGGGTTGATGCCTGGTGGACGAACATCACTAATCAGATCTATTCAAAGGTCCCAGACATGGCAGGTTACTTGGTCAAAGCGAACAGCGAGGGCCAGCCGGGACCCCTGACGTACAACCGCACTCTGACAGACGGAGCGAACATGTTTGCAAGGGCCTTGAAGCCTCATGGTGGAGTAGTCATGTTTCGCGCTTTTGTATACGACCACAATCTCAACCCGGCAAATTGGTACGCGGATCGGGCAAATGCACAACTCGAGTTCTTCCAACATCTCGACGGAAAGTTCGACGAGAATGTCGTCGTGCAGATCAAATTCGGTCCTATCGACTTCCAAGTCCGCGAGCCGCCATCCCCATTGTTTGCATCACTACGCCACACCAGCACAGCCATTGAGCTCCAGATCACACCCGAGTACCTGGGTCAAAACTGCCACCTGGTATATCTTGCACCGCAATGGAAGGAAATTTTAGACTTTGACATGAGGGCCGACAACACCGAATCAAGAGTCAAGGACATTGTCAATGGAAAGCGTTTCAAACGACCAATAGGTGGATATGCTGGCGTCTCTGGCGTCGGTTCCAACACGACATGGCTGGGAAGCCATCTTGCCATGTCGAATTTGTATGCCTTTGGACGGCTAGCCTGGGATGCGTCTAGTGGCTCGGAGACGATTCTCCAAGACTGGATTCGACTGACATTTGGGTTCGACCAAGACGTTCTCAACACCATCACGGACATGTCGATGAAGTCGTGGCCTGCATATGAGAACTACAGTGGCAACCTGGGTATTCAGACGCTGACGGACATTCTCTACACCCACTACGGGCCCAATCCAGCTTCTCAAGATGGCAACGGCTGGGGTCAATGGACGCGTGCTGACGGCTTGGGCATTGGCATGGACCGCACGGTACGAAATGGTACTAAGAATGCCGGACAGTACCCGCCCGAGATTGCACGGATATGGGAAAATATTGAGCTGACTCCGGATAATCTTTTGCTTTGGTTCCACCATGTGCCATATACACATCGGTTAAAGTCCAACAAGACGGTTATTCAGCACTTCTACGATGCGCATTATGAGGGAGCGCAGACAGCGCAGGAGTTTGTCCGCCAATGGGAGTCGCTGGAGGGTAAGATTGACAAAGAGCGATTCGAGCAAGTCCTGTTCAGACAGACGTATCAAGCTGGACATGCGCTCGTGTGGCGCGACGCCATCAACCAATTTTACTTCAACCTGTCGCGGATACCAGACGAGGCCAAGCGAGTGGGCAACCACCCGTACCGGATTGAGGCGGAGAGCATGACGCTGCAGAACTACAAGCCGATCGCAGTGAAGCCATTTGAGACGGCGTCTGGATTCAAAGGCATTGTAACGACGTCGAGTGGAGCGACTGGTGTAGCGAAGGCCAAGGTGGCATTCGCGAGCGGGAGGTACAATGTGGCGGTTAACTACTGGGACGTGATTGGTGGCAGGGCGAAGTATCAGCTCAGTCTGGGGAACCGGACCGTAGGATTGTGGGCAGGCGACC